TAAATTGCCTAATTAGGCAATCTACTGACCTGTCAAAAACGAAATTCAATATGGATGTTCGGGTCAAACATTGGGTCAAACACTGTGTTGTTTATTCTGTATGTCATTGATTCTGTCACATTCTGGATCAACGTCATTTGAATTATCGGATTTTGTGTTTTTTTGTGTGTTTATAGGTATTGTATTAATTAAAATGCCAGCGATTTGCATCGTAATTGGGTGTGGAAGTAGAGCTAACAGGGATAATGTGAAATTTTATTCAGTTCCTGCTATTTTCACCGGCTTTTGATCTACAAAAATGAATCATTAAGACAACGCAGGGCTTTATGGATTGCTGCAATTAAAAGAAAGGATCTAACAGAGGCTCGATTTTCCCTTAATAATAATACCTTAAGATATTCACTCTCCATCTCAGAATTTATTATTAAATTAAAAAATACGTAGAAACACTATAAAATTCACTTTGAAAACAAGGGCCAGAATACTAAAAAATACGTAGAAATACTAAAAACTATAAAATTCACTATGAAAACAACAATATGACCAAAACTAATGAAAAATATGTAGAAACACATAAAATTCACTTCGAAAGCAACAAGAGCCAGAACACAAATGCTCTCCTTATGAACGTCACCGGCTTGTCACCGCAATATTTGACCTGAACGGCCATTAAAAAATCACGTCATTGAGATTGCCTAATTTAACTGTTAGGTTAATGTCACCAACATGTTTCTAACTTTTTGCTGCATCAGTCTCGTTTTGTCCTCGCCAGAGTGTGGGCGGTTGGTTTAAGGAGCTCAAAGAGCTTCACCGGGTGGTGCACTAGAGGCGTGTAGAGACCAAATTTTGGCTCACCTCCGCGAGTAAAAACCGAGATTCATCGCCATCCGTGGATTGGTTTGCGTCTTTTTGACTAAGCCGGCTTAGATTCCTAAATAAACAGAAGATTCACGCGTGGTTACGTTGGCAAAATGGCGGCCAGAGTCTGAGACTCGTGAAAACGCTGTTTGTTTTGACAGAAAAAGGTTATATCCGGTTTCAGCGATTGATGTGGGCAAGTCCTGGATGTGCCTTTCACATAAAAAATTGAAGATAGAAGTGAAGAGTGAAACAATTAGGGGACCTATGATATGGCCTAGAGCCAGACAACATCAGGGTCACCACGAAATCGTGCTGGCAAATTGCCTCAGTAGCAGCGCCATTAAAACAAGCAAGCAAGCAAGCAACTTTTTGCTGGAACAAACCTACTAATACATATAACACCTGAGTGGGAAGTTTTTCGTGCCCCTCCATATATTCTCTAAAGTTATAGGATATTGGGATAGGCCCCTATACCAGTAACAGAGCTTATGATAATAGTTAAATAGATATGGTATATTCAACTACAAACAACCACATTAAACGCTAAATTTTGGTGGAAAAAAATGGAACAAAAACGCAAGACCGTAAGACTCTTGCATGCTCGGTATTGGTCTTGCGTAAGTTTTGCACTGCTCGGTCTTGGTCTTGGTCTTGCAGTCTAATGAGAAGTTTTGATCTTGGTCTTGGCCTTTCTTTTTCTGAAAGACCAAGACCAAGACCATAAATGGAGGCCTATAGTTATATGCCTAGTGGAGACACATATAACAATAGAATTACAAGAAAATGAACTAGAATTAGAAGGATACAGACGTTAACATGCATATTCTGCAAGCAGACACACAGGAGGATCATCAATATGATAGGTATGAATTTAAATTTTAAATCAACTACATATATAGCCATAGACAAAAATATGTGGATTTGATTAGTGGAATAAACAAAAAAATTAACAAGAAACATTATAATGGGTTGACTTGCTATTGAGTAACCGGCCCTTAAAGTTGGGGCAGTTAGATTTAGCATCGTCCTGACTACAAGACACACTGAAAATTTAAGAGTACATTCTGAGAACCATGAAAAATCAAGCAAAAAGATTTGTGTCTCCTAACTGAAATTGCTGAAAAACTCACAGTTTTGAGGACCTTTGAGTCAAAATTCTTGGTTCAAAGTTAATACTACTGACACCTGAAGTAAAAAAATCTACGATTTTAGAATCTCAGATTCAGGAGTCTTCGAATTGATACTTAATACTACAAAAACTGACTACAAAACACTCTGGGCTGGGACTCTGTCACGAATAGAGATATTTTCTCTATCTCAATTGACGTCTTATCCCTATTAATTTCGGAAAGAGAGAAGACAGCAAGTGCCATATAGTGTCACAACCCCTATACGTTTCGTCCTGGGACGTCACAACAGGAGCGTGACCCAGAGGCGCCGACTTTTGAAAGTTCTCATGGGTGCAGGGTGCAGGATAATAACTTTATAAACTTGTTTATAGGGGGAGGGGGAAGGTTGCTGCAGGCGCAAACTGTGTAAATTCAAATTACATGATACTGATATTACTCGCAAACTCCTGGTCCATCAAAAATTCACCCCCAGATCGACCCAGGACGACCCACCATCGTTTCCTGACGATTCGGTCTTTTGGACTCCATCGAACTCACTCCATCTTGGGAGACGATAGCGCACCAGTCACCAGCGCAACCACCCCTGAATCTAGCATGCCTGTAGCTAAAGATAAGGGCCCAAGCCAAGGCCCAACATCGGTCAGGAGGTAGTGGCATCTCCAAACCGAGACTTCTGAGTGATTCGGGGTCAAATCTCGGAGAAGGGATGGTTAAATTACCTTTCTGGCGCGAACCCTTCAGGCGCTTCGGCTGGTAAAGAGCCCTCAAACTACGGCCAAACTTTCACTGGTCGGGGTCCTCGCCAATCCCTCTACAAAAAGGTGCAGGACCTCTACACCAAGAGCTGATCCTCTCTGGACGAAGTTATCTTAAGCGGCCGCTCACTCGACGTTCCTGCGACCACCCCAAATATCCAAAAGGTCCATAATACTGATATTACCCCACGGAACGGAATGACCATCAAACACGTTTGTAGTTCCGCATTCCCCACAAGAGCTCCCATATTATGGGTGCTCCGCACCCATGAGAGGCTACTCATGGATGCACCTGCCCCAATGCCCCAATGCCCCAATGCCCCAATGCCCCAATGCCCCAATGCCCCAATGCCCCAATGCCCCAATGCCCCAATGCCCCAATGCCCCAATGCCCCAATGCCCCAATGCCCCAATGCCCCAATGCCCCAATACCCCCATGTAGTCGGCGCCAGTGGCGTGACCTGTGGGCGTAGGTGGAGTTCAGGTAGAGAAACTCACTTGGTGTAGGTACAATAAGATATGTATTGAATAATAATAATATTACCCTAGAAATAGTATCATGACATCTTTTCTACGGAAGGACGTACTACTTATAGGCCACTCTGTATTATGTACACTCGGTACACTTGGCGTGACTGAAGACTGAAGCTGGGTTTGAGACAAGTCCAGAAGGGTGTTTTCCAATAAAGGTAGTTTGTACTGGATCTGGACTGCTGCGTCCAATACTCCCAGAAGGGCGTTTCCCATTAAAGGTAGTTTGCACTGGGCGGAGACTTAGATAGAGGGGCTTTTCCCATTTGAGGTACTTTGCATTAGCCTTAGTCTGCCGGTAATGGATTTCGGCGCGGTATTTATACCAAATTAATGCTGACTCGTCGACACACTTTAGTAAAATTGATGTACAGAGTGGTATTTACTTAAGTAGTTGACAATAGCTATAGGGATAACTATCTTTATCCATTACAGAGTCCCAGCCCTGAAGACTTAGCAATCCATCTCAGAAGCATGAAAAATCAAATCAAAAAACTTTGTGTAACTGAAATTGCTGAAAAACTCACGATTCTGGGGAACTTTGAGTCAAAATTCTTGGTTCAAAGTTAATACTGACACCCGAAGTAAATAGGTAAAATCTACAATTTTAAAATCTCCAGATTCAGGAATCTTTTAATAATCATTCAAATTGAATGATTCAATACTGAAAAGACTGAACCCAAGACTCAAAACTTCATTCTGAAAACCATGATGTGATGAGAAGTTCATCTACTACCAGTGACTAAGGTAATGGGGTCAGCAGACCCCCTTGAGGGCATAATTTGCTTTAATTTTCCTATTTTCATAATGGCTTCAATCCATGCAAACGTAGTTTCGTCAAAGCCCTTATTTCTGGACGCTCTTCTTATATGGATTCATGTGACGTGTTATCGAAAGTGCCCTTTCAACCTTAGTGACAAAACTGTTCAGGACTCTCAGTTGATTTACCTGGCTGATAAGCAAATTGATTCTTATAAGATTTTTTTGCCTTTTTATGCAAACACTGTTTGTAAGACTTCCCAACCATTTCACGTATTGTCCGTCGATTTTAATCTGATACTCGGCAGGAATATGAGCTGGTGGGCCCTACATTAGAACGCCAATGGTTACCTGACATCACACCTGTTTTTGCCATATGAAACACCCCCTTGCTCCTCATACGGAAAGTGTCAGATAAAAAACGACGGACTTTACACTTTTTCTCCTCTTTTTCTAAGTATTTTTTCCACTTAGTTAACATCTGGGTGTTTTGCTTTATTTTTGGTTACCGTGGGAAAATCTGTAGATTGGCGGCGCCTTTGATCTGAAATTTTGAGGATTTGGCCCAGGCCAACCCTAAATTTTTCGACGTCATGATGTTATCGGTGGCGCCATCTAGCGTGCATAGTGTGAAGTTCGATGTGTCCTATTACAGGATGCCGTAGTAGTAAAAAGGGAAAATTCGTGAATCGTCATGCCGCCAAAGTTTAATGTGGAAACAAACAGGGGTATCATGTTTCACGGGTATTTTTACTGATACGCGTTTCCAATTTCCATTCTAGCAAACAAAAACAACAAGCTCAGATTTGCATTTATATTTTACGATGATAAACATGAATGTATATTTTCACTGCCGACTAACTATATATTTTTAAAGATACATATTCCTATGGGCCCCAAAATACTTACAGTCAAGTCGCACATTACCTATTACTTAACTAACCTTAGAGTTAAAAAAACGTACCATGATCACAATATTGGCAAACACATAAGTCACCGTCATGAGTAACTGCATAATTTGGATCATGAAATATTTGACCCTATCGGCCATCAAAAGAGTCGTAATCCTCATTGCCTTCCTATCTTCAAGATTATCCTAGAATAATCACATTATAAATTACAAATAAACTATTCCAGTGCAAATACGTACCCTAACTTTCCTGATTGTTTGTCTCCATTTTGCGGCAACGGCATTTCTTCTACAACATCGGAAAAAAACCCAAAGAAAACTTAAAATGCCATCCTAAAATATTCCATTTAATTTATTATATCAAAATAAATCCAACTGAATATACCTTAGCTTCGAGTATTTCTCTTGAAATCAAAATTATTAACTGATAAAGCACAAAAAGGCACACAGGTACAGCATAAGTGGCATTCGAGTGCGGATAAAATTTGAAAATTCTCGGATCAGTACAATCTTGGTAAGTTTTTAAATCCACTAAGTGGAAAAGTCTGCCCCAAATTGAATAAGTACTAAACAATTCACTGTCGTGAAAGTATTGAAACTGATAAAAAATCATTATAGTAATATTCAAAAAGATAATTGGAATCAGGCAGGCTAGAATGCGTGCAAATACCCTTCCTAGAGTACGATCACAAGCCCAATTAGTCAGCAACGTTAAAAACATGACATAATAAACTGCACCAAATGCTGACGGTTTCAAAGTAGCCGTTAGACAAAGCATCAAACACGTAAGCCATTTGCCAACAGTGAAAAGTATTGTCAGCAATTTTTTACGATTAATTTCCCGAGCTTGCATTTTAAGTTTTTCGCCTCTTCGGCGAGTCACCACCGCAACTTCTTTGGTGAGTTTTTTGAAGCCGAAATAGGAAAATATGCACACCAATAACATCAATGGTTCCGGAATACACCAAATAATCGATTCGTAAACGGGCAAATTTGCAAAACGAATAATGCCCACGGTTCTTATGATTTTTTCTAAGTCGCTACAAGGCTGAAATATATTTAAACGTTTAGATGTTTGTTATTGTTTCAGTACAGTGTAAGTACCTCAAATTGGTACTGTCGCTCAGTGAAGAAAAACAAAACGAACCAAGTACTGTAAACCATCAAACACATCAGAAGGCAAACCGTTATGAGCAGTTTTAAGTAGGAACCAGTACTTCCGGCCATGGTTTTGCTTGTTGGTACCGAGACAAAGGGCATGTAACAGCCCATTACCGTGTAGATGTACGAAGTAATGGTGGGCCTGATGAAACTGGCTAAAAATAGAAAAATCTACAAGCGGTCAATTGTTGTGGTGGTACTTTACCTATTGAGATAACACATGGCAAGAAAACTCTGAATAATATTGCGCTCCACCAATAGTTTTCCATTTTTTTCAAATCAGTTTTTGGCAGTTAATTGTCGAGAAACTGGTACTTACTAGTTTAGCGCCAAATCTTTTTGAAAATTCAAATTTGACTGTATGGTGGTACTCAATGACATTGAGTCGTCTCAAAATTCTGAGGGCTCGAAGCATCTTTCATCTTTTTTCCTTTTGATGAGAAGAACAGGGATAACGAAACAATACAGCAGTTTCAAAAACATCAAAGTAGGCTTTGGGCGGCCATTTTAAATCTGTATATTTTTACAAAATGGCAGTTAGTCTCGGTTTTGAAGCTTAGTAGTTTGTACTTTGTACCAATATTATTCAAGTCACTTCTATAATACGTCCATTCGCTATCCTCGTCGGACTTATATTGAATTATATATTTCAGCTCCTTTGGGCTGTTGCTGTCATTTACTGTCCAATTCAAAAATATTTTATTTGTACCAATTGGTTTGATGACGTCAATTGTCACTTGGGACTTGTCCAAAACCAAAATGGCCGTCGACGCGTTGGCACTTGACAGCTCGTTTTTAGCCTGACACAAATACGTGCCGTTGTCATTTTTTGTAGCTTGAATCCTTAAAATTGACTCAACAACTGTCAAATTGACATTTGTAATATTCCACACAACATATTAGAATCCTTGAACCAATTGGTTTTTTCCGAATATTTTCCGACTTTTCATTAGCTAACTTCGCGTTTTAAAAATTTCAAAGTAGGCATTGGCTCCCAATTTTTCACAGATAGCTGTAGCCCATAGTGTCTGGACACCTTGTGTGCGTCACTTCAATTTCTAGGTTCAATTTCTCTCCAATATTTTCCGGTTTTCATCAGATTTTAGTGTCTGAAAGAGTCCCTTCTTGTAAGCAATACTCGAAGAAAACCTAATTTTCCGAATGAAAAAATCATCAAGGTAAACAAAAACTGTCCTCGGCGGCCATATTAACTAACTTCGCCTTCCAAAACCGTCAAAGTAGGCTTTGGGCGGCCATTTTGAAATTGCGTATTGATATTTTTTTACGAAAAAGAACGTTTCTTGTGGTGCCAGGAATTGAATTTTTGAAAAAAAAATCTCATTTTTCATCAAGGTAAGTTGAAAGTTATCATATCAAATATAATTCGAACCAGCTGATAATTCAAGATGGCAACGTGGACAAAATAGAAGGCGCATTTTTTTTTTCACTAGTGAATCTAAAGTGTGTTTTTTCTTTGAAGATGAAAGTCAAAATGACATTCTGTTGGCAATACAATGTAAAATTGTCAATGCTTCCAAATTTTTTATGCAGAAAAGGCTTGTGTTGCCAACATAGTTACAAAATTTTTGACTTGAGGAATTATCTTTAAAAAAAAAGCAGATTTTACTAAATTTTTGACTTGGGGAATTGAGTGCTAGCTGACCTCTCACACATAACCCAGTGATGCCAACTCACTGATGTGAAAAATCCCTACTCCAAAGTAAAATATCCCTAGATCAGGCAAAAATGGCTCATAAATTCCTCCCCGGTTTTCCCCTTCTTTTAATATGACTCATTCACGTAGCCTGCGTGGCTAAACATGATCGCAATTTAATTTGATGACTCCTGATTAAGTACCTGATTTTCAATGTTGCCAGTTGCCATAAAAAATGGGAAAATCAAAAATATTGGTAGGAATAGGAATGATACTATTGACAATCAACTAATTTGTTTTCTTTGAGGTTGTGGTACCTACAAGACAAGAGGCGCTTTTTCATCGAATTATCCACCTTATGAGAGAATCATTTCGATTTTCCATGAACTAGACAAAGCTAGACTGCTCATGAATGCATCAGCCGGCATAAAAAAGAATGCAATAAATCTAATTAAACAGTTAAATACCAGTAATACCACAGCAGAAAGCTAACAAAAAAATATCCCTAGTTTGGCCTGGTTTCTGGAAAATCTCCCCTCAATCCCAAGAATCGTCCTCAATCCCTAATAAGTGTTAATATCCCTGGATCTAGGGATAAATTCCCTAGGTTGGCATCACTGACATAACCTCAATGATATGTTTGTCCCTCTAACGAAAGTCACGTTATGTCATTTGTGACAAGCTAGCGCTTGTGTGTTGAATGGGCCTTTCAAACGCTTTGTTTGTCCCTCCAACGAAAGTGAGGTTATGTATGTGACGTCAGCTAGTGCCTAATTATCTTTAAAAAAAAAAACAGACTTTATCTACTACAATATATCGATGAGAAATGAACGCGCCCCAACTTGACGACTGTGAAGGTACCTTTACATTCAATTCCCAATTGATTGCAATTTGAATGCAAACGCTTGTCAAGTTCGTTAGGCCCACGGCGTCATACTGAATTGACAAAACGTCAAATCGCCCTAATAGTTAACTTCACGTTTTGAAAAAAAAAAAGTAGGCTGTGAGCCGCCATTTTGAAACTATATTTTTACAAAATGGCAGTAGTTTCGGTTCTGGATTCTGGACTGGAGTTGGAATTCACGCTTTACATTTCCGGTTTTTCTTGATTATTTTTCGATTTTCAGGGCAAAAAACTTCGGCGTTTCAAAAATGTCAAAGTAGGCGCATTAGCTACAAGGATAATATACACTACTACCACAAGATAGCCTATCTTCATAAGACCTGTGAAGATCAAGAATCAAACAGGTTATGATTCCGCGGGCTTTTGCTTTATGCATACTTGGTTTTACTACATTAATTAACATTCTAAAACAACTATTTTTTAAATGTCGTTTGCATCCTCTTATTTGCCTATTATGTTAATCAAGATTAAATAATATTTTTCATCATATATTTAAATTCTAAGTTACGACCGCTGGCGCAAACACTGACATCTTAGTTAATGACGTCGGCAATGGTGATACACCAATATGGCGGCAATAACCAAAAACGATACCGATAAGCAATCTTTAGTAGTGTGTTTTATCCTTGCATCAGCTATACCACTTTTTTAGGCTTCAGCACATTTTAAGTGCTGAAAAATGTTCTGAAACGTTACTTGTAAACCAAAGATGAAGGTCGTCGTACACGGTTTTGTATAACGCGTAAGCCCCAACGATTCACTGGTTGTATTAAATGTCACCTAACTGTCAACTGAAAATCAGGGGACTCTTAATACAACCTGCGATTGGTTAGGATTAAATAATCTTAGAAAACTCAATTTTCCGAAAAAAACATGATCAAAGTAAGCAAAAATTGTCATGGGCGGCCATATTAGTTAAGATCACGTTTCGAAAACATCAAAGTAGGCTTTGGCGCGGCCATTTTCAAATTGTTTATTTTCATAAAATGGCAGTAATCTTGGTACAATTCGAACCATCTGATAATTCAAGATGGCGACTTGGGCATAAACTGAAGGCGTGTTTTTTTTATCAGTGGAACCATCGATTAGCAGTCTATCTTTGTCTAGTTGATAGAAAATCAGAATGACTGTCTCATAATGGGGAATATATCGATGAAAAAAAAAAACAAAACGCTAACTTGACGACCATGAAGGTACCTTTACATTCAATTCCCAGTTGATTGTAATTTGAATGTAAACGTACCTTTACGGTTGTCAAGTTCGTTATGCCCCCGGCGCCACATTGAATTGACAAAACGTCAAATCGCCCTAATAGTTCACTTCACGTTTCAAAAACATCACAGTAGGCTTTGAGCGGCCATTTTGAAACTATATTTTCACAAAATGGCAGCAATGTCAGGTCTGGACTCTAGACTGGAGTTGGAGTTCAATACGCTTCACATTTCTGTTTTTTTTCCGATTTTCAGGGCTAAAAACTTTGCGTTTCAAAAAAGTCAAAGATTAAGGTTGTCGTACACGATTTTGCATAACGCATAGGCCTCAAGCAATCACAGGTTGTAATAAATGTCACCTTAACTGTCAACTGAGAATCAGGTGACTCTTAATACAACCTGTGATTAGTTGGGATTGAATAATCTAAGATTTTCCGAAAAAAACATGATCAAGGTAAGCAAAAATTGTCATAGGCAGCCATATTAACTAACATCAAAGTAGGCTTTCGTGCGGCCATTTTAAAATTGTTTATTTTAATAAAATGGCAGTAGTCTCGGTACAATTCGAATCATATGATAATTTAAGATGGCGACGTGGGCATAACAGACGGTTTTTTTTTCACTTGTGGATTTATCGATTATGTATCGTTGTCTAATTCATAGAAAATCAGAATTGTGCCTTAGCCGTGAAGGTACCTTTACATTCAATTTCAATTAGTTGCAATTTAAACGTAAACGTACCTTTACGGTTGTCAAGTTCGTTATGCCCACGGCGCCATACTGAATTGACAGAAAGTCAAATCGCCCTAATAGTTAACTTCACGTTTGGGAAACGTCAAAGTAGGCTTTGGGCGGCCATTTCAAAATTGCATTTTGGTATTTTCCAAAGTTTCTAAAATTCATAGGTTGCCTGGTAATGGGTAACCTGATGACGCGTCTGGGGTGGCTTATGGAGATTTGCATTATGTTGAGGCCCCCCAGATGACGTCATAAAGTTATCAAGCAACCAACGTAATTTCATACAGAAAATAACGTTTCTTGTAGTGTAATGAACTGATTTTTGGGTAATTTTTAAAGAAAATCTAATTTTCCATGAAGGCAAGTGACAATTATTATTATCATATTAGCTAACTTCACGTTTCATAAACATTCAAAGTAGGCTTTGGAGCGGCCATGGTTTCCTGTTGAAATTTCCTATAATAAACGGAAAAACCTAAAAATAGAGGATATTTAAGTAAAAGAAAATTGATAGGTAGACAAATTGACTTAAGTATGTTGTACCTACCACAAAAATTTAACAACCATTAATAGAGAAAAATCGAGAAATAGAGGGGAAATTTAA